ACTGCTGGGCTGCATGGTAGTTTTATGTTCAACTTTTTGAGAAACTGCCAAACTGTATTCCAAAATGGCTGCCACATTTTACCAATGCATTCCTATCAGTGGTGTATAATCGTTCCCACTTCTCCACACGCACAGACACTTGTTACTGTCTTTTTTCTGATAGCCATTCTAGAGGATGTGAAGTAGTATCTCATTACTATTTTTTTTTTTTTGAGATGCAGTTTCTCTCTTTTTGCCCAGGCTGGAGTGCAATGGTACAATCTCGGCTCACTGCAACCTCCACTTCCTGGGTTCCAGTGATTCTCCTGCCTCAGCCTCCTGAGTAGCTGGAATTACAGGCACACGCCACCACAATTGGCTAATTTTGTATTTTTACTAGAGATGGGGTTTCACCATGCTGGCCAGGCTGGTCTCAAACTCCTGACCTCAGGTGATCTGCCTGCCTCGGCCTCCCAAAGTGCTGGGATTACAGGCATGAGTCATTGCACCTGGCCCTCATTATGGTTTTGATTTGCATTTCCCTGACTAATGATATTGAGTATCTTTTCATGTGCTTATTAGCCGTTTGTATATATTATTTGAAGAAATGTCTATTCCAAATCCTTTGCCCATATTTCAGTTGCATTGTCATCTTATTATTAAGCTGTGTAAGAGCGTTTGTAAATTCTGGGTGTTAATACTTTATTAGATTTGTGTTTTGCTAATATTTTTACCACTCTGTTGTTTGTCTTTTCATTTCTTAATGATGTCTTTTTATGGACAGATAATAACTGGACATATTAATGGGTACAGATAATATTTTGATACATGCATACAATATGTAATGATCAAATCAGGGTAAATAGGATATCCATCACCTCAAACATTTATCTTTTTTTGTGTGTACTAGGAACATTCAAATCTTCTCTTCATGCTATTTAAAAATATATATTATTGGTTACTACTATAGTCATGCTGCTCTGCTATCAAACACTAGAACTTATTTTTTCTATCTAACTTTATGTTTGTACACATTAGCCAACCTCTCTTCATCCCCATCTCCTCACCCTGTGCAGCCTCTGGTAACCATCATTCTACTCTCTGTCTTCATGAAGTCAACTGTTTTTAGCTCCCACGTGTGAGAACACGTGTTATGTGTTTTTCTGTGCCTGGCTTATTTATCATAATGACCTCCGGTCCCATCCATGTTCCTTCAAATGACAGGATTTCATTCTTTTTTTTACAACTAAATAGAATTCCATTGTGTATATATACCATATTTTCTTTATCCTTAAAATTTTGAAGTGTAAAAGTTTTGAATTTTGATGAGGTGCATTTTATCAATTTTTCCAAAAACAAATCCTTATATTTAGAGTCAATTGACTTTTGAAGTGTAAAAGATTTCAATTTTGATGAGGCCCATTTTATCATTTTTTCCAGAAACAAATCCTTATATTTAGAGTCATCTGACAAATGCAATTCACTGAGGAGAAAACGGTCTGCTCAACAAATGGTGCTGGTACAACTGGATATCCACACATGAAAAGATGAATTTAAACTCTCATTTCACACTACACAAAAATTAACTCAAAATGACTCACAGACTTAACTGCAAGAATTAAAACAATAAAGCCTTTATAAAAAAACTTGGAAATTTTCAAGATCCTGAGTTAGACAAATGCATTTTTCATCTATTCCTGAACTTTTATACCAATTAAACATCATATATGTGTATGTCACGTTTATAATGCAGGTAGATAAAAATATAGCCCCCTTCAGTAAAAATGATAAAATATTTCACTGAGTTTGGTGGCCAAAATTTGAATTAGCAATTACATGAAAATGTTAAGAGAAGGCCAGGTGTGGTGGTTCATGCCTGTAATCCCAGCACTTTGGGAGGCCAAGGCGGGCAGATCACGAGGTCAGGAGTTGAGAACAGCCTGGCCAATATGGTGAAACCCTGTCTCTACTAAAAATACAAAAATTAGCCGGGCGTGGTAGCACGCAACTGTAATCCCAGCTACTCAGGAGGCTAAGGCAGGAGAATCGCTTGAACCCGGGAGGTGGAGATTGCAATGAGCCGAGATAGTGCCATTGCACTCCAGCCTGGGCATCACAGTGAGACTCCATATCAAAAAAAAGGAAGAAAATGTTAAGAGAAAATATGCAAGCAATAAGTCATAACCCAGCCAGAATAGAATATATATAGCTTAGCAGGTAGAACTCAAGACAAAGGCATGCAAATAGTGCATTAAACTCTTCTTCAAATACTATACAATGTGTGTACCCATACTTGAGGCTAAAAACTGTTGATTACAGATAGTCACTGACTGCAAATTAAGATTAGGGAGAAAACAATCTCCTATAGAAAGGTGAACCTCAATCAATCAGTTAAGGAGGTGCTGCACATGCTAATATTTGTGATGGTATCATAATGCCAACATGAAATTTCTACAGTCGATTATGTTCAAGTGTCAGAAGAAAGAAATTATTGAAGAGTCTATAAACATAATTCATTAATACAAAATTTTAGATACAAAGCATCACTTATAAAGGCACTTTCTTTTATTAAATTTTCTAAGTTGCATGTGAAATTGTTAATAACTAATTTTCATGGTCAAATTACCACTTACATCCTCACAGGGACACAAAAGAATGTGAGCATTAAAACTTGGCCACTGTGTTCACGGTGAGTCAGTCAGTGCCTTCCCCTTGCTCTTGGCCTGTGTTTCATGATGGCAACTGGGGAAGCGTTTGCTAAAGCCTGAATCTTGATTTCCTCTTTCAAAGCAAAATTTGTTTACAAAGTATATTTTCTGGTATAATTAAAATTGTATTACTTCTTATTAACATTTTAATATCTTGTTACTATTTTCAGGTACAACTGCTTATTTACATACCTATCTCTCCCTCTTAGGAAAGGTTACATGTTTTATTGTTCTTTTTCTTTTGTTTTTTTTCAGACAGGGTCTGGCTCTGTTGCCCAGGCCAGAGTGCTGTGGCAGTATCTCAACTCACTGCAAGAGCACCCGGCTAATTTTTGTATTTTTAGTAGAGACGTGGTTTCACTATGTTGCCCAGGCTGATATCGAACTCCTGAGCTGAAGGGATCCACACGCCTAGGCTTACCTACCAAAGTGCTGGGATTATAGGCATGAGCCACTGTGCCTGGCCCTGTTTTATTGTTCTTTAATCCCTTATATTAATTTTTTTTCTTTTGAGACAGAGTCTCATCCAGGCTGGAATGCAGTGGCACAATCTCAGCTCACTGCAACTTCCACCTCGTGGTTGTGTACAAGCAATTCTCGTGCCTCAGCCTCCCAAGTAGCTAGAATTACAGGCGCATGCCACCATGCCTGGCTAATTTTTGTATATTTGATAGAGACGGGGTTTCGCCATGTTGGCCAGATTGGTCTCGAATTCCTGACCTCAAGTGATCCACCCAACGTGGCCTCTCAAAGTGCTGGGATTACAGGCGTGAACCACCATGCCCAGCCATGAATGTTTTTTAAGTCATTGCAGACATCAGTCGAGTACTGAAACCCTGCCTTATAGCATCTGATAAGGTTCTTAAAACAAAATAAACACTTGATACGTTTTTGTTGTAATGAAGTAAATCTTAGCTTTTAATACTGTGGTTTTAAAAATGATATTTCACAGCATAACGTATACTATGGGATCAATCAAATTACAAAAATGGTATTCTAAGAGAGACATACAGGTGTGTCATTAATGTAATGAAGGCTATTCTTTCAATGGCCAGAGCCAAATGCTAACTTGTTTCTTTCTTGAATACGTAGTGACACTATGTTCTCTCATTTATTCTAAACAGAAGTGGTCTATTCTCTCAGATCAGAGCCTCTATCTAAATCTCCCGCGCAATTTAAAAGCCAAACTTTTTACAACCCAGGAAGAGGTGGGCTTAGCTTAGTACAGGCACATAGCAAGAAATGTCCCAAAGAAAGTTAGCCTTATTATCATTGCTGCTGCTGCTAATATATTCCAATAATCACTTCTATCTTGAAAATAAGTAGAAACAATTGACCAGCTCATCACAATTTCACATTAATTTGAAAGAGGTATGCTATGTAGCAAATGGAGACCACCTTCTTCTCAATTTGTGGTTAACACTGGCAAAGTACATATGCTATGAAGTTTGTGTATCAGACGAGTAAAATGTACTCCACAAAAAACAAGTGAACTGAAAAAAAATTCACAAAGTCTTTTAAAATACTTTCCTTCTTGCCTAAGATATAACCAAGGCTGGTTCTGAGTAATTTTCTCAAATGCTATCTGCAGTGATCTCTTCAGGTAAAGCCCTCCAGCCCTTTGGCCACCTGGAACCATGAGGTTCCACCTGGAATTTTATCTTGGCCTCAGGGCCTGGGCCGGTGCTCTATGCTGGAGGAATTTTTAGAAGCCTCAGACTAGTAGCTTATCTGCTCAGTACGATCAGTCATTCTGCTGATCCTGTCCTGATATTGTGACCTAGTTTCAGGCACTAAGATTTTATCTAGTTACTCATAACCAGTGCCTCTTTTGTACCACTAGAAACTAGATCCTGGGTTCATCCGTTGTGATCCACAATCCTAGCTTGGGACCTTGTTTTGTATCCCAGTTGGTGCACTACTCCCTATGATGTTCTGTGGGCTTAGCTAGAGCCCTACCCTGGAACTCCAGTCTTCATGACTGTGTCTCCAGTACTTGCCACTGGATGGCTATGATGCAGACTTCCCTCATGTCTGGATTTCCACTTATTGCCTACTGTCAGTCTCCCCCTAGAATAACGTCCTAGGCTTCAGCTAAATTTCCTACCACTGTCAGGACTGTGAGGACTTGGGTTCTGGTCATTCACGGATTAACCCATCTCAAGGCTGAGTTCTAATTCTAATAGTAACTCAAGTAATACCTTTATTTTGAAATCTCTCTATTCAAACCAGCCAGCAGTAAATATATACTTTAAAAAGCCTCATTAAATATACATGTGATGCTTGAAATGCCAAAAGAAAAATACCCCATACCTGTCTGAGTGAATCCTGATTTGTATCCATTAGTTGTCCCATTTTCTGGGGTCACAGTTGATGACACTGAAGAGCTTGGTTTAATAGAGTGGCAAGAAGCAGAGGATTGTCGGCTTCTACATTCTGGAAAAGAGTAAAAATTACACTGTATGAAGTGACCAATGTTCTGTTAAAACAGGTGATGGGGACACAATCCATAAAATCTCTAAATTAAATTGCTGCTCCTTAAGTGGCAGCCACTTCTCTAATTAGAGATCCCCTTCCCCATCCTGACTCCAACAGAATGTTTAAACTAGTGAATACAACGCTTTTGTTTGGAAGACAAAGAAATGGTTGCAAAGAAATTGGACCTTTGTTCCCTAAATACTAGTTCCCAGAGGAAATATACTCATAACCAATATAGTCATGCTAGTTTTATGGGTAAGACAGAGGCTAAAACATTAATAATTTATGAAAACCTAATAGGCCTTTCAATACCAGTTAACACCCTACCTGGGATTGGTTTAAGTGTAGAACAGTAACCTATGGTCTGTCTAGGCTGCCTATAACCTTCTCTTCTCAACCTTAATTTAGGTCCAAAAACAGAAGCAAAGAAAAATGTATAGGCAGTAGAGAAAAATTTTAAATGCTCAAATTAATATTATTCTCAGTTCTTATTAAAGGAGACAGCCAATATTCAAAGTGGTTACTGATCATGCTATGCCAAGCTTCATTTTATGTAAGCCAGTATTAATGGGCCTCTGGGATGATATTTTATTAGTGCTTTGTACTGATTCAGGTAGATAGTAAATACTATCACAGCCTGTGGGACTGTTAACTTCCAACCAAATTTTACCCTATTAGTCTCAAAAAGTAGCATGTGAAAAAGGAATATAAATAATTTTATACGACAAAGGTAATTACAGAGGGTCCTTTAGAGTGTGTCCAAGTTTATCAGATACATACAATGACTGGAAGCAGTTTTCTATAACCTTCTATGCTATTACCTTCTATGAGGAGTACTGTATTCTGGCCTAAGAGCATATCTCCAATATGTAATATATGCACATATGTATATTGATATTATATGCATGTATATATAAATTATACAAATAAATATAATTTCAGCTCCAAAATAGCAACTATTATAAACGTGAGGCTTCTCTCACAAATGTTATTCTTTATTAGAAAAATGAGGCCAGGCATGGTGGCTCATGCATGTAACGCTACCACTTTGAGAGGCCAAAGTGGGTGGATCACTTGAACTCAAGAGTTCGAGACCAGTCTGGGCAACATGGTGAAACCCTGTCCCTACAAAAAATACAAAAATTAGCCAGGTACGGTGGTGTGCGTCTGTAGTCCCAGCTCCTTGGGAGGCTGAGGCAGGAAGATCACTTGAGCCTGGGGTGGGAGAGGTTGCAGTGAGCCACCGCAGTCCAGCCTGGGCAACAGAGTGAGATCGTGTAAGAAGGAAAGAAAGGAAAGAGAGGAGAGGGGAGGGGAGGAGAGGGGAGGGGAGGGGAGAGGAGAGGCAGAGAAAGGGGGAAAGGGGGAAAGGGGGAAGGGAAAGAAAACAAAGGAAAGGAAAAGGAAAAAGGAAAGGGAAAGGAAGGAAAGGAAAGGAAAGGAAGAAAGGAAGAAAAAGGGAAAGGGGAAGGAATGAAGGAAGGAAGGAAGAGAAAAAGAAAAGAAGGAAAAGGAAGGAAGGAAGGAAGGAAGGAAAGACGAATTGCCACTGAGTACTAACTAAGAAGTTAAAAATATTTTATGCAACCAAAACAAGGCTAAAGAAGGAAATTAAAAGGGAGGGAGGTGATACCTATCCTACTTTTACCCTTTTATTAGGATTCATGACATTCAAAATGATTTTTCTGAGAAAAATCATTTAATAGGACAAAGACTTATTCACCAGCTTATGATTCAGTGGTCACAAGCTTTAAGTTCTGATGATACCTATCTTGGAATATGTACCCATTTCCTAAAGAACTATATAATGCTACTTCAAAGGTAACTAAGAGAAATTAAGGTGAAGGACTCAGAAACAAACCTGCAGTTGTAATTTGGAATATTATGCTGTTTTTCATAGTCAGGAAAAAATATTGTATAGACAACAAATAGAAACGTTAAAAATAGTTATTATAGGCCGGGCACGGTGGCTCACACCTGTAATCCCAGCACTTGGGGATGCCAAGGCGGGCAGATCACGAGGTCAGGAGTTTGAGACCAGCCTGACCAATATGATGAAACCCCTTCTCTACTAAAAATACAAAAATTAGCCGGGTGTGGTGTCACACGCCTGCAATTCCAGCTACTCAGGAGGCTGAAGCAGGAGAATCGCTTGAACC